CAGCCGGTTAAAGCGCAGCACTGTGAAGCTACCTGCAGCCACTGCAGCACGGGTTCCATCCTGGCCAGGGAGCTGACCCACATGGCGCGGCAGACCTCTCCTGACCTGCCCGCTGCTCCCCTCAGCAGTGTTTCAGTAGATCCGCCTATTCTGCTCCTCACTCTGTCTCTGGTGAAGCTCCTCTGGTGAAGCACCACTTACCATTTGAGGAGCTTCAGGTCCTCTTATCCCTTGCACCTCTGGTTTGTACCCTCACTCTTGTATGCATAAATAAATAAATCTTTAAAAATAAATAGGGGCAAGGACTTGGGGTCTGCAACAAGCCTGGCCTGCTTAGTGCCAGGCTCCCTAAGGATCCTAATAAAATCTTGCCTTTGGGGTGCTAGCTCTTCACTCGGTCTCTAGTAGGATTCCCTGGCTTGAATCCATCCTGCATGCCACTGTCTATTCTTTCTAAAACTTGGGTCAGTTTCATCCCATGTTCATCTCTCGGCAAGCACAACCCATTTTCTAGATTGTTCTTCACCACAGGATTAGAACCCTACCCAGGCTCAGCTACCAGATGCTGTTTCTGTCTTAGCAGGAAAGTTCTCATGTGTGGAGGAAGTCAGAGGATGTCAAAGCCAGATAGGCAGTTCGGAGGCCACTGTGATGCCTCACTTAACATTTGAGGAGCTGCAGGTCTAGAGAGAAATGACGGCCAGGCCAGGTACACTGCTGGTGATGGCTGAGCCGGGACCAAAGCTCGATCTTGAACCAGGGCTCTGATCCCTAAAGGGAATGTTGTGGTTCTAGGAAATGTACACATGAAGGAGTGGGGTCTCAGTGATGGAAGTGTGGGATGCTGAGAAAGGGAGACTTTGGGGTGACCCCAGACTGTCAGGAATGGAGCCGTCAGTTTGCAGGACAGAGACACAGCTCCACCTGGACAACCACCTTGACATTGCCTGGACTCCAAGAACTCGCCCCACTTCAGGGCCTCGCCTGCGGATTCTGCCCCACTCTGCTGTGGGAGATGGAGTCATGTCTGGGCCACACTGGGGCTCTTGTTTCTTCTCAACCAAGCTCCCACTGCCATCATTCTGTGTAACATTGTTTGGGGAAGGATGGAGGTCTGAGGAACACTTTGCTTGGGACTGCAGGGCTCTACCATTCCCCTAGTTAGTGTAGCCCGTCCTTACTGAACATTGACCCAAGTCACTTCTCCTCTGAACAAGAGAGGACACAGCGCCTTCTGGGGGAACATTAACTGGCCACCTCCCCTCTGCCTACCTCAAAAAGCAGCTCTACTTCCTCCAAGGAGGTCTGCAGGATTGGGTTCAAGGGCATTGATGAGGATCTCTTTGGCCGGTGTGCCACGGGGAAGAGCAGGGCTGCAAGAAAGCAGAATGAGTTCACATGATAACTCCAGGTGAGCCAGCCGGCTTCAAAGTGACCAGCTCTGAATGGTCACAGCCTTGCTGTGGATGTAACTCTGGCAGAGGTGACAGACTCCAGAAAACTTCCAGCATGTCAGACACGAGCATTTCAACTACTGATTCATTTCAACATGGATTTCAAAGCTGACGGCTCATCAGAACCATCCCAGAAGGATAAAAAATATGTACTGTCTGGAGGTAGGAATCTCTGAGTGAAATGATACTCAAACAAAACAAAATAGACATGAGCAAAGGCCCCTAAATTCAATAAACGAGTTCCCCCTTCATACTCATTTCAGCACTTTATCAGTATTATATGCTGCTTTACATTTATTATAAACTTTTAAATCAGAGGATCAGATGTCTGCTTATTCCCCAGACACTGAAATGTGGCTGCCAGGAATTTGGGCACAGGTGACAAAGTGAAGGAAGAGAGCAGCCCCGAGACCCTGTCACTGGGCTCTGTGGGTGGGTGGAGCCGAGCTCAGAGCTGCCACTGGCTGACTTCGAGATACTTTTAGAAAAAGCTATGACTTGTCTTTGTTGTTCCTCTGTAGCTGCATTTAGAAGTGGAGCTGGAGGAAAATGTACGGGCTGTGATGGGGATAGCAAAAATTAGGGATCAACTGAGGACAAGTGAAGAAGACAGAATGTCTCACAGGGTAGGAAGAATCCACATCACTGCAGTTTTCTATCTATGCACTCTGAGAGTCCTTCTGAGTATTAGGACTCCGTGCAAAAGATGTCAGTAAACCTGCTGAATGATAGGAAAGTGTGCAGCTCTTTCAGGACGTTTGCTTGTGATCTACCAAAATTGGTCAAATCACTGTGGAAATCCATGAGACTTTCAGGCAGGTGGCGCCCCAGTTCACATCATTCACTGTACACCACAGCCCGACTCTTGAGAGAGGGCCCATGGGTGACCTAGAAAAGTCCATCGGTGTTCAGTGTGCTGTTGTAGATGACCAGGAGCTGTGCACTGCACTGTAGAAGGATTTCTGTCAGAGGTGACAGAAAGGCAGGAAATGTCTTCAACAAAGATGTTTCCTCAAACACTTTCTTGGAGGAGGCTTCCACTTCCCCCCAAAGAACTGGTTGAATGTGGGGTTGCTGTATCATTGCTGCCTCTGTGATGCATTGATTGTCTCTACCACAAGCTCTTCAGGATGAGCTTGTGTTTCCGTGTCCTCAGCAGAGCCTGGCAGTCACGTGGGTTAGCAGCTTTTGTCCATGTCAAAGTTCCAGAATGTAGAGTCAAAGCTGTTAAAAAATGGAGCTCAGACTCGCTGACTAAGGATTCCATGTGTGCTGGTGTGCTTTCTGCTCTCCTGATTGCCTGGTGCGTGAAGTACTAACACCCCTTCTTATAGAGGGGGAATCTGACAGGTTAAGAAACTTGCCCCAGGCTACGCAATTTGTGATGGTCTTGAGATGAAAATCCCACCTCGCAGGCTGCAAAACACCCAATCTCAAGAGCATGAACTACACTAGCTCTCATTCGATTCTGAATAAATACAGGAGGGATGTAGGTAGTTCTTGATGAATACATGTCTGCCATGTGTTGGAAAACAACTCAAATGAATCAGGCACATTACTTAACTCTCTAGCTTTGATTTATAATAATAATGCGATAGGCAGTCTCCAATAACTACAGTCATGCGCCTCTGTGAGCCTTAACTCTTGCTCCTGCCTTGTTCCTTTGCAATCACTGGGCCAAAGCACAATCGAGCCCTTCCCCTGTTCCACAGCTGCACCTGAGCCCCTGAGCCCCTGAGTGTGATTGGGGGAAACCCAACCATCTTACGTGTTCTCACTTTATGTTCGCAACCACTGTTGGCATGTGGGCCATGAAATGCCTTCCGATCCTTCTCCCTTCTATTCACTGTGAGATAGAGGATGTTTTACCCTTCTACCCTCTCGCTGGTCTCGGCACCTGCCTCTGGCCTAGACGCCACGGTCTGTTACTGTGTCCATGTTCCTTCTAGAACCAGCATTTCCCATGTGCATAAGTCTCGAATAAAGGCTGTACGTTTTCTACCTTTCACTCCCATACCTTTACTTTTCTCTCTCTCCTAGATCATGTCAGCATGAGCACATGTTGCTGCTTCTATTTTTAGAAAGAAACATCCTCTTCCCTGGCAGAGACATCCTCTTCTCACGCATCCTCCCTCCGCAGACTCCTGGCTCACCTGCCCCTCTTCTTCCTTCTCGCTGCACTCACTCCATACTAACTTCTGCTTTGCACATCCTGCTCCACATTTGTGTTTGCAGCTGCGTAGAGGAAGCTGCCTTTGGATCTGTGATCACTGTCTCTCCTGACTTCCATCCCCAGTGCTCACAAACACACCCTTCCAGCCACACACCTGCTCACATAAATATAGACCTAAACCCACTCTCAACACATACGTACGCACGCATCCTCACACACAACACATAAACATGCATACTCATGCACCACCACACCACACACACACAACACCGCACCCCTACACACACACACACTCACATGCCTACTTGCTCACATACATATGTCATATGTGCACACAGCATCTCATGCTTCGGCTGTTGACTTCCCCTGCAGTCGCCCAGGTCAATGTCCCATATCCAACTACAGTCTTCCTATCTTGCCAGCTCTATCTGCAGACATGTTGGGAACCTGGCTTCTTCCCCCACAAGTCTCGAGCTTCTCTCCCGCTGCTGCCTCTGCTTGCATGCTTGTCTACTGCATTCTTCCTCAGCACAGCCATCTAGGTGATTCTGTGAACATCTAGTTCAGACGACGTTACTCGTCTGCCCGGAAACCCTCTATGGCCTTCCATCTCACTCAGAGGAAGGGCCAAAGATCTCCAACTGGCTTCTGGGTATTACAAGACCAGATGTCTTCCTACCCCTCTGAATTTGCCTGCCTTCTGCCTCCTCAGCCACAGCTTGCCTCCTCTCTGTTCTTTGAGCACCCCAGGCATGTTTCAACCACAGGATATTTGCACTCTCTTCTTGCTGCCTGGAATACTTTTCTTACAGTATTGCGTGTCCCTCCCTACCTTTGGTCACCTCCTCAGGGAGGCCTTCCCTGATTGCACTGTTTAAAATTATAATCCTCACTATCTGCTCCCTGACCTATCGCCATCCGATGGTATATGTGTTTATTGTCTGTTTTCCCTCACTAGAACCTCAGCCCCAGAGGGCTTGAGGTTTTGTTTATTGCTGTATTTTCAGTGCCTAGCTTCATGTTGAGTCAATAAGTAATCCCCTATAAACACATTTCCTGTCCCTATCACTATACTCCAGAGCACCTCACTAAATTCTCATCTGAACAGGGTGTTTCTGGAACTTTTTTGTACTTCTAGGTTTTGGTTAATTATCAGAAAGTAGCTATTGTCTCCTGCCTCCAGTTGGCACAATCTTTATTTCTGAAGAGCCCCTGTTCTGGCTGGCGGGAGCTACTTTTAATGCTCTGGTGGAGGCCAGCACCTGCCTCCCCACACCTGAGCCTCTTCAGGCTCTCTTGGCCAGACATACAGTCAGAAGGCTCCCTGTGGGGAGCACAGCCTGCTGTGCAGGCTGACCTTCTCTTCGACTTTTTATTACCAAGACCTTTTATTACCAGGGATAAAAATCTCTTCTTCCCATCCCCGAAGTCTGTTCCCTCCACAGAGCAGTGTTCAGGCTGACTGGTTTCCACATATCTGTGCATATGGACGTCGTAGAGCTGGCTGGGTAGGAGTCAAGCTGTGGACCATACCCAGCCAAAATGAATCAAAATGAATGAATCAGTTGAAGCCACTCTGTGGAAACCACTGTGGGTGTGGAAAGGAAAAGCTCTTGTTTATAAAAGCTCTTTTGCCAGGCGCTACTGATGTCATTGGGGTTTTTTGCTCCCGGGCCAGCCTGTTAGAAATATAGTGATATTCTGTGTGAGCCAGGAGCTTGGTCCTTGGTATAGGCCTCCCCGCCCCCGCCCCCCGCCCCCCTCCCAGACTCGGGGTCTGCAGCCACCGGCGGGGCCCAGGAGCTCCTCTGGCCGCGTCAATCCACCGTGGGCGACGGGCCTCGCGGGGGTGGGCAGCGCCTGCAACGTCCACTCCCTCTGCAGAGGCTCCT